TACGCTGGCCTGGCCGCCGGCCACTCCGGCGCCTAGGGCACGTCGCGAAGGTCACGGCCCGAGTGGCCTGGGCGCTCTGCCCCCGACCCCTCCTGGAGGCCGGCCTCCCGCAAACGCCCGCCCCGCGGGGCCCTGAACTTATACCCAGTGTCCCACCCCAGCCGCGCAGGCCCCGGGGGTTCGTCCTGGGACACGTCCCGCTGCAGGAGGGGCCAACCTGCGGGTTACAAGAAAACTAGGGGCAAAGGCAATTGGGAGACTAGCCGCTCCGCCTACCCACCCCTCCCAGAACTCCTAGCCGAGGCCAGCCTCAGGCCTGCTCTGACCACACAGCCCCTGGCAGCCACCCTGGGGCGGCCCAGGAGGGAGTTTCTGGGCGTACGGCTCACGCTCCTGGGAGGCGGCAGTCAGCAAACTGCCTGCCCCTGCCTGGCCCCAGCGGGAGACGCCCACCTCCCTGCTGACCGGAAGTGCAGGTGTGCTGCTAGCCCAAAGGCGCACCTGCCGAGCAGTGAGATCTGAGTCCCCAGGGCCGCTCTGGGACAGGGCCACATGGATCTCAGAGGAGGCGGAGAAATGTGGAGGAGCCCAGGGTGGGGTGGGGGGTAGTATCGCCCATGCTGGGAGCCTGCGTTATTTGAAAGGAAGGTAGAGTAGGATTGAGAAAAATGGCCCAGGGGCTTCTGGAGATCAGAGAGGGTGGGAGACACATACCGAAGATCCACAAGGAAAGGCAAAAACGTGTCAATGAGCAGCTACACACAAGAATCCCAGAGACAGCAGTTTGTTCAGAAAGCCGGCGCTAACAGACCTGACTGTTACGGTGCAGGAGCAAGCCGCTTCTTCGTCCATGGTCCTCCAAGCCCACTCCCAGCACAGACCCTGCTGCCCTGGCACCTGGATCTCATTTGGACTCAGCCAAGATGCCCGAATCTGCCATCAGCCCCAGGGCACTGTCAGGGCTCCTGACTACATTGCAAACACAGCAGTGAAGCAGAGATGACAGAAGCCTCTGGAGTCCCTGGGTCTCCATGACAGCCCAGAAGCGGGGAGCCAGGCCCTGGCGGGGGCAGCTGTCCCCTTACTGGGGTCATCAGCAAAACAGGGCCCTGAACCTGGTGCTGGCAGGGAGACCCCAGGGTTTGCTCCTCACAGAACACAGACCGTCCCCAAATTGGGAAGGGCAGGGCCCAGAGACTTGGGATTGGGAACTGAAGGGATATCACAAACATAAAAATATCAAGGGCAGCAGGGCGCTGAGACACCTATCTCCCGTTACCTGCAATGCTGTGAAAAGGCAGTCAGATGTGGGAGGAACCCTGGAACACGGGAAATGCAAGGCTGGAACACCCTCTTAAGAAAGGGGTGGATTTTGCAAACTATAGGCCAAGGAACTAAAAAAGATCCCAGCCAATTTCTCAAATGGACCGTGGAGACTCACGCAGAAGCCCGAGAGGGCAAAGGGGAGGGCGGGTGCAGTCCTGAGAACAGGGCTGCCCGGGCAGGCCTCTGGGTGGGGGCTGGTGTGTGCTCTGTGGCCCTTACACATCTCCTCTTGGTGCCTGGGCAGGGAGGACCGTGCTTCATGGGTGGCCTGGCAGACTTCTGGGGCCCCTGGAATAGGGGGGAGGTCTGTGGAGGTGAGGCACCTGCGGGGGCCCTGGATTTGCCTCCGCTGTGTCCTGTGACCGCGAGCCTGGACAAAGGTGCAACGCCAGCTCCTATCAGGATCTATAAGGGCTTCTGTGGGTGCCAAGAGAGCAACTCGTGACACGCAGCAAGCCTGCCTCCCGCTGCCAAGCATGAGGGCCAAGGCCAAGTGGGCTTCAAGGACCCGGGGCAATCCCCAGAGGCACACCGCACCTATCTCCAGGTCTGAGACACTTAAGAGCAGCTTGCAGTCCGGGGCAAGTCAGGGGGAGCTGGAGGGGCCAGGACCCCCATCAGGAGGCTGAGCCAGGATGCTGCCTAGGAAGACAAGGCCCAGGGTCTCCAGGTAGGACTTTTGAGCTCAGGCAGGAGCACCGCCCTAGTCTGCCATAAGTGAGGCAGGATAGGTTGGCCTGGTGGCCCTCAAGGTGCAGGGCCACCCTCACCTTTGATCAGCCACCCCCAGCAAGACCAGCAGAGAACAGAAAGCCCCATCCTTGCGGGAGCCCCAGTCTTCACCCCAGCTGCCTTGGGAAGATGGGGAGGGGGCCTAGAGCATAAGCAGCCTCCCCAGGTTACTGGCAGAGGGGCCTGTGACCATGCAGATCTGGGCTGGGGAGTGTCCCTGAGCCCTGGGAAAGGGCAGCAGGCCCAGCAGGCCACACCCAGCCCCAGGTAGCCGCAGTCCCCTCTGCTGAGTGAAGGCACGCCCAGTGATCTGCTGATGGTGAATCATTAACCCCCTGGGGATGGTGCCAGGGGCCACAGGCTTGGCCAGTGGGGCTCTGGTCAGGGAGTGGCCTCATCTGCTCCTTGGACCCTTCCTACGAGGCCCAGCAGGGAGCAAGACCTCAGAGAGGACACTGAGCTGGTGGGGGGTGGGGTGGCGGCTACGCATGCACACCAGGGAGCCTGGCAGCTCCCACCCAGACACAGTGTCCCTTTCTGGTCCCCCAGCTGACCTTGCAGCTCATTCTTCCAACAGGGCCAAGGGAGAGGGCCAGGGAGTAGGCAGCCTGGAGACTCAGGCCAGAGGATGCGGGCCTCCAAGGGTCATAGGAACAATGCCTCTCCAGAATGGCCACTCAGAACGTCTTGCAGCCCCCTCCACCCAAGCCCCAGGGGTCTCCCACCTGAGCCTGCGAGGAAGGAATCCACTGCCCCTTCCAGGCATGGTTGAGGTGGGGCCTGACTCAAGAGAAGGAAGCCATAGGTCCTTGGGCCAGGCAGGCACTGAGCAGGGCATGTAGGCTTGGGCAGCCACTGCCATCTGTAAATGCCACACTCTGGCAGCAGGCCACCTCCTTCACTTCCCTTCTGGCTCCAAGACGCAGCTCCCTGAGGCCCAGCCCCCAAGGCTCCTCTAAGCACCTGTGGGAGCAAATGACACCCTCAAGGGCTGCAGAGCACATCCTCCAGCCTGTCAGGCTGTCTCTCGCGGGGCTGCTGTACCCACCCAGGGTATAGGCCTTATTCCCACTGCCCGGGGCCGGGGCTGCATTTCCTGTTAAGGACCACCAATGTTTAAGGACAGGGAGTTCCACAGGTGCCCTACACCAGCTCCTGGGGGAAGATCTGGTACCAGCCATGCAGCAGCTGCTGCCCCTGCAAGCAGGATGCGCACTGCCCAGTCCCACCACACTGCTGTTGGCACCTGCCTGACATGGGTCTGGGAGGACAGATCCCTGCACCCACAGCCCACCCCAACACAGGACTCAGCACACACGGAGCCTGAACAATGCATTTTTCTCAACAGCCACCAGGGGGCGCGTGAACTCGCCGTAGGTTCTCGAGTCCTCCTCCCTGGGGCTTGCACGGGCAGTGGCTGCCACTCCCTCCCCATCTCAGTAGGTCCATCGTCTGTCCCAGAAGGGAACTGGCCACATGGTGCGGGTACCCGGTTCTGCTCCAGCGCAAGTGGGTCCGCTGAGCCTGGGTGCGGGGCGAGGAGCAGGTGGAGCCCTGCCCAGCGCCTGGGACCCGGTCCATAGTCGTCTGGACGGCCTACTCCAGGACCACGGTGCCGCCCACTGCCTCCAGGGCCGCCTTGATCTTCTCGGCCTCGGCCTTGGCCACGTTGGCTTTGATTTCCTGGGGCAGGGATTCCACCAGCTTCTTTGCCTGCCAGAGAGCAAAGTCAGAGCCAGCCTAGGCCGGGAAGGGGGCCGGGGAACCGAGCGGTGCCTGGAGACTCACCTGCACGAGGTTGATGCCCTGGACGTAGTTCTTGATTTCCTTGATCAGCTTCACTTTGTCCACGGGCTTTGCCTCTGTCAGGCGGACAGTGAAATGTGTCCGTTCTTTTTGTTTGGGGATGTCTTCTTCTGCTGCCTGGGGGAGGGAGGGCAAAGTGGCGGCAGGGTGAGAAAGGACAGGGTGAAGCAGGCAGATTCGCTCCCTGGCCATCCCGGCCTGTAACTCCAAAGGTGAGGCCTAGGCGGGCAGCCCAGTGAAGCCTACAATTGGAGCGGGAGGCCACGGCAGGCCAGAGAGGCCCATGCTACTGCCGGGCCAGTCCCTGGACCCCTCAGGGCTCTCCCTCCCTCATCTGCCCTCCCGTCTCCCAAAGGCTGCTCTGAAACTGCCCTCTGCCCCCACCACCAGCACTCTAGGTCCCTGTCCCTTAAAATTGTAAGTTACAAGACAGGAAGAGTGACACTGAAAGTGCTTCGCTGCAGAAACGGTGCTGCCGTGGTCTTCAGCCAAGCCCAAGGCCACACCGATGACAAGCATACGACCAAATTCAGCTCCATCTTCACCAAATAACCAGCTACGGGGCAAGAGGCATGGCAGAGCTCCTGCTGCCACTTGTGGGGACTGTAGCACCTGCCGGAGCAGGGCCCATGGGCCCACAAAGCCCTGGTGTGGGGCTGCTGTCCAATTATTAATGTTCTTAGACGTGCTCCAGTTTAAATAAGTCACGTAGTAATTCTCTCTTCCCTTGCCCCAAGTGTTCAGTCTGTAAAGCCACCTTCCAGCTCACAGCACAGATGATGCTGGTGGAACCACCAGACACATCTGGGACAGGGGCGGCTCTCCAGGACCCCTGAGCTGGTTTCCTCAGTAGGGTGAAGACTGGCAGAAGGGGAGCTGAGAGCGGTAACCGAGACTTAAGAGGTTCAAGAGACCCAACAACCAAATGCAGCAGAGACCTTGTTTGGATTTGGGCATGGAAAGTCTGGAACTATCGGTGGCACTCAAATAGGCTAGGGTGGGAACCCTGCTGGCTGCATCCACGTGCAAACAGCACACGACAACACGAGGAAACACCTGTGCCATGAGATGTGGATGCTCGGGGATACAGGAGGGACAAATCCAAAACCTGCCATAAGCTTCAACAGACAGGCGGGGCAAATGTGACAAAAACTTTATAACTATCAAGCCTGGGTGATGAGCATAGAAACAACCATGTTATTATTTCTATTTGCGGATAAGTATGAGATTTTTCGTAACAAAAATTAAAAAACAAAAAAACAAAGCAAAAACCCCCCAAAAAACTCCTCCAAAACTCCCAAATTAGCTTGTGGATTCAAGCCTTCCAGTTTCCACAGAGCCCCAGACGTGTCCCAGGCACCCAGAGGACGGACATGCCCCCTCCCTGCGCCCACTCTCTGCTCCAGCCCGACAGACTTCATGGTCACGTGTCCACCACCGCTCTGCGGAGAATGCCTTGTTCTTGTCCTCAAATCCTCATGTCCTCCCTCAGAGTGTCACGTCCTTGAAACTGTTCCCCTCCCCTCCCTTAAGCTTCTTCCTTCCCTGTAGCATTTATAACTGTCCTACTGTTTGGCACAATTTCTTTTTTTCTTTCCCCTCTCCTGTGGCTCAAGGACTATTCCCCTTCACAACAAACATGGTCTCCACGTGGGTAGGGACCTGCACTTCCTTGGCAGGGAGGAGGTCACAGGGAGGGAGGGGAGCCCACAGCCAAAAAGTGCACACAGATCTGTAAGGCATGTTGACTGATGCAGAACCCAGAAAAGGGACAGAAGAGAAACCTGGCTGCGTGAGGTGAGGCAAGATGGGGCCAGACACCAGAGAAACACTCTTCTGTGCACAGGACTCCAGCCTAGGCTCACCTCGGAGGCTGCAGCGGCAGGGGCAGCACCCGGCGCCACGCCACCCATCGGCATGAACCCGACATCCTGAATCTTCAACGTTTTCTGCAGGGACAGAGGAGAGCAGCTTCAGGAGCTGGCCGCCACTCCCAGACGCGCTCAGGGACACTCCTGGCAGTCCTCACACTCGGGGAGCCCACTTTCGACAATTTACCGAACTCTCAAGTTCCCCAGGAAGGGGTCCCAGATTTCCCCACCCAAGCCAGGGATGCTGTACCTTCAGGAGCTCGTTGAGGTCTGAGATCTCCAGCAGCGTGAGGCTGGCAATGTCCTGGACTAGCTGCTGGATCTTGGGGGGGTACTCCTTGGGGGCGTTATCCAGGGGCGCACCAGCTAGGGCCTCCCCCCTTCGACGGCTGCTGCATCTCATCAGCCTCAGGGCGCAGACACGTGGTACCTGTTGCCTAGCCCCCATTCAAACAGACCCGTCAGCCTGGCACGGGCGGATGACACAGGCCGGGCAGGTAGGTGCCATGAGTTCAGGTCTAGCTCCTTGGCGCCGACCCAGGGTCCTCAGACTCCAGGGTCCATGCCGACAAGGGGATCTCCCAGCTACTTTAACCCAAATGGCTGTTTGCAGACACGCCACCCACAACGTTAAGTTTCCGGCTTGAATGAGCCGTGTCAGCCCGTGCTGGCAGGACAGCTACTTGAATGCGTTTTGCAGCACAAAGCCTTTCAGAACCTGGGGTCGCCGGCGGCCGAACGCCGGATCCACTCAAGGGAGTCCTCGCACGTCACTGTGTTGCGGAGAAACTGACGCCCGGAAAGGGGCAGGGACCCGCCCAAGGTCATCGGGGCCACCCCCGCACTCTCGGCGGCCCGCGCGACTGGACGGTCGGCAGGCGGCGGCCCCACGCCGA